GAGAAACTCAAATAATAACAAACCATTTTAATAAAATGAGACGGCCTCGTTGTATGCCTTTATCCGTAGAATTTACTTAACAATAGAAATTATATATGTGAGAATAACGATGTCTATTATAGGCAATGAAATGATGTAAAAGATTTACCAACTGTATATTTCTTTAGCCAAGGAATTACTGTTGTCTTAAGAACTCCTACAGAAAAACCAATCCACGAAAAAAATTATTTTTATCAACTTCACGGTTTTAGAACGAACATTAACATGCTAATCATTAAAGAAAGATGTTTCAGAAGGATGTTGTGGGCTCGTCAATCTCAAAATCGCATCGAGCGCACTTGTAAACCTTTGCACCACCGAGATTGTCCTTTATGTTTCCACAATTCCCACACGTCTTGGATTTGTAATGCTCATCACAGAGTATCAACAATCGACCGGAGTACTCTTCGATCGTGTGCGCGAGATGATGTAATTTGTAATGCGACCATGTCAACAGTCTTGCTCTTGATCTTTCGATTGAATTTCTTTTTAAAATTTCTGATATCATCAGACTCTTGGTTTTCGAGTCTTGAATCTTTCTTATTTTTCTCAACATGTTTTTGATTTCACATAATTCCTTTGTGATCTTGTGATGGCAATCTTTCACGATATTTTTGATATTATCATGTATCTTTAGCATTTTCTCTTTAGCGTGTACGTTTATTAGATCCTAAGACCATTGTAACTGACTGTGAACACCGTGCGATAGATAGTAGCAAGTTCGCCTGTGTCTGGATCTGTTGACTCAACATCCGTACTGAGAACCATGAGTTTGACATCGTGTTTTCTGAAAATCTACTCCACAAGCTCATGTGCTAATCGTCACAATCGGTCTTTGCAGGTAACCACAACTTCCTCGAGATTTCTTACGTACACTCATTACAGAATGGACACGAATCCTCATCGTTTCCAATTGAAACCAGACTCGACTTCGGTAACAATCTCATGATCAGGTAATTTAGGAGTGAGGTATGCGCACTGTCTTTTAAGGTCATCTTTCTGCTTTCCACTGGATACTCGTGAGTAACAAAGTTTTTCTTTTGCGCACTCTCCTTATTAAACATTTGGTCGATGTCTGTGACGGAATGCAAGAATTTTCCACCCGGCATGGTGATGCTCGAAACATCCCCATCTACGAAGAGTGCTCGTAGATACTCCATGATTCACGAAGAGTGCTCGTAGATACTCCATGATTCACGAAGAGTGCTCGTAGATACTCCATGATTCACGAAGAGTGCTCGTAGATACTCCATGATTCTTCTGTATCTTGTTTGCAGGTTGGTAATTCATGCGTGTCTTTTCGTATTTTATTATTATTATTATTTTACACGATGATGTATTTTGAGATTGACAGGAAGGCTTTTTCACGACCTTTATATCTTCTGAAACATTTTACCATATGATATGTGAACTCACCATGACGAAAATGTACATAAAGCGTAAATGCTACGAAATGAAACGAAGTGATGAATACATGTTGTTACAGAACATGACATAATCTACTTATCATGTAAAACTCACCATGCAAATATTACGTATTTCAAAAAATTTAT